AATCCCATTATGAAAAAAATCACTCTACGCGAATGAGTGGAAAAATCCGATTCAAAAAGCCTAATTCAAAAGATAGAAGCCAAAAAAGTAAATTGCGCAGCACGATCTGAGAGTCACTGACACTTTCGGCACTATTTCTTGAAAGCGCACACACTAAACCGAAAAAAAATATCCAATCCGGTTAAGGAATAAATCACTGTACGCGAATCAGTGGGAAAATCCGATTCAAAAAGCCTAATTCAAAATATAGAAGCCAAAAAAGTAAATTGCGTCGCACGATCTGACAGCCACTGACACATTCGGCACTATTTTAGAAAAACGTACACACGAAACCGAAAAAAAATATCTAATCCCATTATGAAAAAAATCACTCTACACGAATCAGTGGAAAAATCCGATTCTGAAAGCCTAATTCAAAAGATAGAGGCCAAAAAGTAAATTGCACAGCGCGATCTGAGAGCCACTGAGACTTTCGGCACTATTTTTCGATAACGCACGCTTGTAACGCAAAAAAGATATCCAATCCCGTTAAGGAAGAATTCAGTCTACGCTGATAAATGAAAAAAACCGGAGTCAGAAGCCTAATTTTGAAGATAGAAACCAAAAAAGTAAACTGCGCAGCATGATCTGACTGTCACTGACACAATCAGCTCTATTTTTCGAAAACGCACGCTCGAAATGCAAAAAAATATCCAATCCCGTTAAGGAAAATATTACTGTACGCTGTTATGCCAAAAAAATCTAACCGAAAAACCTAATTTCTGAAATATAGGCGAATAAAGTATATTGTGTAGAACGTTTCACAGGCACTTGTTTTTCCGTTACTTTGTTTCATATGTGCACCTGCAATCGCAATATTATTGCCCTGGTTTGAGAAGAGTCTATTCTATAAGCAGTAGTAACGAAATATTCTAATCCACAATTAAAATTTAGAATGAAAAGAGATAATACGTAACTATGTTGCAATTGAACGTCAAGATCGAAGAAAAATTGAAAAAACTATTAAAAAGCTGCCTATTCAGAGTAATGTTTATCAAATATTCCAATGGGCAGTCGAAATCTACAATCTTTTACAGCAGATTGTAACGGACAATGCGGTAGTATTATAGGATCCTGCACTCACACCACTTTATTTTCCACATGTATCTTTACACAATTTGCACTATGCAACATTCCTTTTTTCACTTGTAGTATATTACCACCGAAGAAATATTCACAGTTAGTAATCTTGAACTTCGTGAAATAATTAAAACGTCAATCAGCGATATCACTACTTCACGAAACAGTCTGAGATTTAATATTTCACTTTGACGCATGAGAATATTTCACCATTTGTTACCGCTATGCCCGCTTGCCGCCAACTGGAAGTTGGTTGCAGCCGGATACGCTAGGTATTTTTGTAGCGGGAAAATGTTGCATCTTTGAAGTAGCTATGTGATAAAGCATCGATGTAGAATATCAAACGATATCTCTTATATTTAATAATTTCAATAAATCAATTATGAATATATTTCTGTTACGAAGAATTCCAAATTTCAATAATTAATTGATGAACTTGAATTATTAATTATTTCATTATACTAATAGAGAAATAAACCATTACTATCTTCGGCAATAATTAAAACACTCTATGCAATAATCACCAGTAATAATTTAAATAACAACGAATTCATATCCAGAATTATGTTAGAAAGCTCGCTAAGGCTGTGCCGATGCAATTTTAAAAGTTGATAAATTAATTATAAACGAACATGAAGTCACAGATGAAGATGTGTGATTTTATTCCTAGTAAAAAGAAAATGGAACTGCAATGGTTATATGCTTAGGTACTTTTTATTCATTTTGAAAGTTTCATATATATACGTTAATTATTAACGAAATAATAAAGAATGACATATAGACATTAGAATTTAAATAAATGTCCGTATTACGGACCGTTAGGAGAAAAAGATGTTTCGTAATACATATCACGTAATAATTATCATAAATAAGATTACTATAAAAAACTGTTTTTATATATATATATATTCTTATTGTTTTGTAATAAACATATACTAGCATAAGAAAGCGTAAAAAATAAATTTTTTTTATTAAAAATTTATATTTACAACTGTTTATTTACAATGTTTTCATAGGTAAAAAATAAATACAAAATAAAAAATACAGTGAAAAAAACTTCCAATGTGGATGGAATCGAACCCTGAACTGCAAGTATATGAATTTCGGAATGTCATCATTAAGCCACGATTCTACATGAGAATTATTGAAAATAAATCTGTAATTAAGGTAGTAGTAAAACTTCAATTGTAAATATCTTAAAAATTACTGAGTAGTTGCGGTTATAATTATATATTTTCTTAAACTGCATAACGATGTCTACAAACCTGCAAAGTTTCAATTAAATCGATGACTGAAAGGACTTGCGCTCTCCTTGTCAATTATTATAAGAAACATCAACATAGGTATTAAACAAATAAATATGTGAAAGAGAAGAACGAAATGTGGAAAGTTTATTCATTTTGTTGTGTCGCTTATAATAATAATATGGCAAATGATAAAAATTAATGGAAATATAACAATTAAATGTATATTTATATAAATATTTATATTAAAATGTAATTTGTATTAAATTAAAAATTTACAATTTATATTTGTATCAATTTTTATTTATAAATTCTTTCCCATTTGTCTTTTGCAGCTATGTTCACATTGTAATTTCAAGTGAGATCTTAGACATTGAAGGTATACAAACAAGTAACCTCTATTTACTCGAATACAAATGATAATTATCAATGATACGATATCTTACTCCAATTTTAAGTTACCGATTATATTTTTATTTTTATTTTTTGATTAAGAGTGTTTTAACTGACATATCTAATCGAAATCCAAGAATTACATTTTAATAGTGAATTTAGAAGTTACTGTATAAATAAATAATGGCGGAAATAGGCAATGAAAAAGATAGAAAATTCAAAACAGACTCTATTGATCGCTCTAAGATTCAGTGTTGTAAGAATTGTGGATATTTATGTGAACCATATAATAAACCAGCATTATGTTGTAATGAATGTTCAACAAAGATTCATATAGACTGTTTAAAACGGGGAAGTGTTCCATTATCATTTGTAGGTGATGTATTCTTTGATTTGACTTGCTCCCATTGCAGTCCTTTTGGTGAAGAAACAGTAGCACGTAATAGAATGCCTTGGCTTAATGTGATTGTATTAACATTGTATAATTTACGTGAAAAGTCAAGTGGTATCAGTAAAAGAGGATACTTTCATTGGAAATCTGACATTAGCACATTTGTTGACCGTAATTGGGATTATTTATTTAAGAAGACAGTGTAAGATACATTAAACAATTGATAAAACTCAACATTTTTAAAAAATTCATGTATGTAATTTAGTTTTTTGTTATTTTTAGTAAAAGAAAAAAGAATTGGATTGGTACAATATCTGGAACTCTTTCTCATTATAGTGGAATCTTTTTCAAATCAGGAACAACAGAATTAGGAGAATCTGGATGGTGGAGGCTAATAGATAATGATCCACCTGAAGTCCTTATTGCTAAAAGTAATTACAATACTTATGCTTTTTACATGACATAATTATAGGATATTTAAATTACTTACTCTCATAGATGAAAAAATGATATTGGATCGTAAAAAACATGTTGGTAATCAGGCAAAAACAGCAAGTAAATTGCATGATAGTCCAACACCATCAGAATCAAGTATTTCAGTTGGAGAGGATAATAGTTATGGAAATGGACCAGTAAAAACTCAAGAATGCTCTACATATTCACAAACATATGTTCAACCTGATAAAACATTATTTGATCTTTTACTCGAGGAGGATGAGTTAAACAGTCTGTACCAGCAACTTGAATAAAAAATATATAAAGTATATATAAAATTATTACATACTAATATTCTTTAATTTTAGATATGGAGATAGAAGATGATATAATGTCTACTGAACAGAGTGACACTCCATCATTGTCTGATTTAATAAGAGACTGTCAATATCAAACTAATAATTTCCACTTTTCGCAATTATTAGATGATTTTACATCCGAATGGACAACTACTACAGATATCGTATCAGAAAATCTTGGTATTAAAATAGATCAAATGAAGGAAGATGAAGAAGAAGAACAATATGAAGAAGATAGTAATGATAGTTTAAGTTCTGTGCAAGAACAGCCACCTGTTTCTTTATTTAAGACTACACAACGACGTCCATGGCCTTGGCAAAGAAATCATATAACTAGTATATATTTTATCATATTTATGCAGTATAATTCATTTCTGCTTAATTGTTTTTCAGTGTTATTTTAGGAGAAAAGATTCCACGTATGACACATCAAGAAGAAGCATACTTATTACAACAAGTTAATAAGTCAATTCTTAATTCTGCGACTCCAGAGATCAGACGATTTTATAGAAAACTGACTGTACGGAAATTGAAACGTGAATATGGTTTACCATTATTGGATATTGATAATTTTGGTTGCAAAGCAGAAATACTTGACAAACCTCTAAAAGATTCTGGCAGAGTTTTGGACCGATTTTTTGGCGATGATCTAGGTTCGTTTGAGCAAAGGTTACAGGGATATAACGAACCTACATCTGTGCATAGTCCATATACAAATAGACTTTTGAAACCATTTATAAGAAGAGACACTTCATGTCGTCCTTTATGGTTGAAAGTAATGGAGGAGCTTCGCTTTAAAGTCAATAAATCAAATTCTAAATGGAAAGCACCACTAACAGCACCAATTGACTATTCTTATGTGAGACCGCAACACATTCCCGCGATTAACAGTTTATGTAGTCAATTTTTTTGGCCTGGAATTGATTGTGAGTAACAATTAAATTTTTATGCAATAGAAATTCAGCCTTTAATATTCATTTTTATGGTTCTTGTAAATATACTTTATTTATTTACTTGAATTTGTATTTAGAACAGAAAAATAACGAAATCGTTTCTTTTTTCCAGTGACAGAATGTCTTCAATATCCTGACTTTAGCTGTGTAGTTTTGTATAAAAAATTAGTCATAGGATTTGCTATTTTAGTACCCGATGTTGGTTATAATGAAGCTTACATATCATTCTTTTTAACTCGTCCAGAGTGGCGTAGATCTGGTATAGGAACGTTTATGCTTTATCACCTAATTCAAACATGTATGGGCAAAGATGTTACATTACATGTTTCAGCTACTAATCCAGCATTAATATTATATCAGAAATTTGGTTTCAAAGTGGAAGAATTTGTTCAAGATTTTTATGACAAATATATGCCACCAAATTCACGAGAATGCAAACATGCGCTGTTCTTACGACTGAGTAGGTAAACACATTGAATAATGCATTTGTTATGTATGTATACAATATGCATGATATTAACTGAATGAATTTAATCTTATTCGATGATATGTATATAGATATAAGTGGTGATACGTTTATTTATTGTATGTATGAAAATATTCCGAATTTTATAAAATATAAAGTATGTAAATCTTTATACGATGTATATATTATTAATAAATTTACTAAAAAATCTACTGAAATATTTACTTCAAAATACATAATAATGCAATACACTTTTATAAATTTAATTATAATTTCTATTAAAAGAAGTAAAAAGAAATTTGTATAAATGATTAATTCTATCCATTAGAAAAAAATAAACAATTGTAACGTAGTTTCACATTTTATAAAAACAAATCTCAATTCAAATATTGTTGTATCTTGTATAGTAATTACAATATTACAGAATCCTACTGTTAATGATAATAATAAAATAAATATTGTTTAATTGTAAATTATTTTACAAACTATAAAAATTAATATAATTATAATATTTGAATAGCCTTAAATTTCATAGACGCAGTGTATATATGCATACGCAAAATTTGTAATATTTACAATTATGTTCACCCAGTATATATCAATAGGATATTCAGCTATGTTCAGATTATAATAAAAACAGTACTTATCTTGTTTATTTTTATACAATATCATTAAACATACAAAATTATCATTGTTTGATAAAGAAATATTAAATATTTTAGAAATATATAGTAGTAATACAAACGTATTGTTTATTTATTATCGTATCAACGTTACGTTTCATAAACCGCGCGCGTGATTGTCGATCACATTTTCGATCTATAACTAGGAGTGGGGGTTACTGACGTCATTAAATAAGTGCTACGGAACTGCCGTCGACCCATTCTCGAAAGTTCCGGAAGCTACTAGAAGGAAAGTTTGTATATATGGACTGCACAGCTTACGCGACACTTTAGTACGTGAAGAGAAGTGTTAGATGTTGTTTCGTCTTATCTGTCAGAAATAATCGTTTCGTAAGTCTGCATAACGTTTGCAAAAAACTCAGTGAATTTAGTGCCAATTGGATTTTGTAATTTATCAAGGAATCACAAGAAAAATAGCGGTAAGTGCTGAACAAAATTGTAAACGGTACTCTAGGGATCCCGAATTCTGTCAGATGTTCAGGAGGAGAAAATGGGCTATCCGCGATGGGGGGTCATTTCACGTATATTCGTCGCATAATTTTTATAATAGATAAATTCTCGAGGTAGAGATTAGGACAGCCATAGTGGATACGATAGAATTTATTTTTACGCTGCTCGAAATTGTTGCACGTTTGTAGGAGCAGGCACGTTTGTAGGAACGGACACGTTCGTCGCTTATACGCGCTCATCATTGCCAGAAATAGATATCGGTGAAATATGTACGTGGGTGTGCGTTAGAGAGACATCCATACTTCTGTTCTCGAGAATGTACGAAAAAATGGCAGATCATTGGCATTATCGATTTAGTATCTATGTACCATTGTTCTACTTGTATCTCAATCATCGAAGGAATGGAATATGTTCCTTGTTTTTGTGCTTCTATGAGTTTAATCCGCTAGTAAACGCAATCTGATCTGAAACCAAGTTTTGTAATCCTTTGAACTTTAATAATTACAGAATTCTTTAACTGTTAGTTGTTTCTTGTATTAACAAAACCCCATACGTCATGTAATAATAGCAGTTACACTAATTACATCAAGGAAAGATTTGATCGTATTGCGAAAGATTTTCATAAAAAATTAGTTTTAATACATTTCTAATGTATCATTTATATATATATATATACACACACACACACACACACACATTTCGTTAGTATTAAATCGATAAATTTCAGTCTAGTTACATAAAGTTGTGTAAGTCAAAAAATAAAAAATAGAATTTAATCTTGCAATTTAGAACTATGTACTTCATAAAAAAAGAAATAACTTCTATACCCGCTAAGGTAATCCGTAAAAGTCGAAAACAGTTCTTTGTGTGTTGTGTGACGTCGAAGTCGTACTTGAAACTTCAGAAAGAGCCGCACTTTTATGGTCACGTTGCGTCGAACGTCGTTTCCCAAACCGTCGATATAGAACATTATACGGGCCCTCGAAAAACGTGTTTGTAATGATGTAATATTTCTCTTGGACCATGCATTGTTATGTATATAGCGTTTACGATATGTACAGTAATGTAATTTTAAATAAAATTCGTAATATTTAAGATATACTATCTGTACTTAATAATTAGCAGCAGAAACTTCCATATATCTTTTAAAATTACCCATAGTTAAATAGAGAATGATTCAAATAAATTGAAGTAAATGCTCATAATTGGACCGTATAATTATCTTGATAAATATCATAGAAAGAAATTAATGAAATAATAAAAGTTTAATAAATAAATAAATGTTTCATAATTGTAAATAGAAACGGAAATAAATTGCTTTCTCTAAAAGAATTTGTACATTTTATTTCTACAAGGACAATGTATCAATCTTCCTGTTATTTAAATTGTTACAGATCAGTGACCAATGGGGAAAGATTACTATAAAATACTAGGCATAAACAAGTATGCCTCTGATGATGAAATCAAAAAAGCCTATAGAAAATTAGCTTTGAAATATCATCCTGATAAAAATAGGAGTGCTGGAGCTGAAGAAAAATTTAAAGAAATAGCTGAAGCTTATGAAGTGCTTTCTGATGCTAAAAAGAGAGAAATTTATGACAAATTTGGAGAAGAAGGACTGAAGGGAGGAGCTGGATCAGCAGGAGGAGGCAGTGGTGCTACAACATACACTTTCCATGGAGATCCAAGAGCAACCTTCGCTCAATTCTTTGGTTCTGCTAGTCCTTTCCAGGCCTTCTTTGATTTTGGAGGAGGTCCTATAGGAAATCGAATGTTCAGCTTCCATGATGACGATATGGATGTAGATGATCCACTTGGATTGGGACCTGGATCTCAACGTCAAGGTGGCCAAGGTGGAGCTTTCAGATCACATTCTTTTAACTATGTGGGATCTAACTCTGGCAGAGGAGGCAATAAAGATCGTGCTCAAGATCCTGCTGTTGAACATGATTTGTACATCAGTTTAGAAGAAATCTTACGTGGTTGTACAAAGAAAATGAAAATTTCTAGACGAGTTGTACAAACTGATGGTTCTACAAAAAGGGAAGAAAAAGTTCTTACAATTCACGTGAAACCAGGATGGAAGGCTGGTACTAAGATCACCTTCCAAAAAGAAGGTGATCAAGCACATGGAAAAGTTCCAGCAGATATTATTTTTATCATCAGAGACAAACCACATCCTCTTTTTAGAAGAGAAGGCAGTGATATAAGATACACTTGCAAGCTCAGCTTAAAACAAGCTTTATGTGGTACTATCATGGAAGTTCCTACGCTTACTGGCGAAAAAATCAATTTAAATTTGACACGAGAAATTGTAAAACCCAATATGGTTAGGAGGATTCAGGGACATGGTTTACCATTCCCAAAAGAATCATCGAGGAAAGGTGATCTTCTGGTTTCGTTTGATATCAAATTCCCCGAAACACTATCGCAAAGTGCAAAGGACATATTATACGATACCTTGCCGAATTGAACACGAAAAATTGGAACAAAAAACATGGATAATTGTCATCACAACGACAGTCCTCTAATCGTTCCAATAGACGAGACTAAACACTCGTGTACGTTCTAGTACATAAAGCGTGATTAGAGAGCTGTGACAAATATTTGTTGAAGCGATGCAAATAATAATTTTACCTTATAGCTAGGAAAATGTGATTTTTCCATTAGTCAAATATAAAAGAAATCAGATTTTTGATTTGGGTTTAGACAAATTTATGTTCGTTAGAATTCTTAACGAAAAAACGAATGATTCAGTTGCTTTGGTAGTGAAACGTATTTTGTCTTTACATGCGGGAAGATCCTAAACAGTGACAAAGATCGAATATATTTACATTAAGTTATATGATTTAACAGTGAGAGTCTGTTAAAGTGCGCAACTCCGGTCGTATGAATGTGATCTACTTAATTTTGTTCATTCTGTACATTCAGAGTATGTATTATGTATACAGTATGAGCGAATGTGCGTACACTTGTGTATCTATGTATAGTGTGTAAGTATTCTTTAGTATAAATGCGTATAGCGCGACTGATATGTACGAATGGCAAATCTGCGGAAATGTGACAAAATGAGCCATCATCGCTGTATCTAAATCGTTACATTATTTTGTTTTATGTCATTATTCATATCATGTATCATCATTCGACTCGTTTTCATTTTCAATAAATTACAAATATGCACATATAATAATAACATTTAAAAATAGCTAAAAAGGTCATAGTCATTGTTCATTAATTTTCTTTAAGTACACAGTGATTAGTGAATATTTTTGTCACACAAAAGCAGACGTGTGTATAAACAATTATTTGTAATATCGAGCTGATTGTTTTCTTATATAATGCGTCTTAATGTTAATGGTTGGTTAATTATTTGTACGCTAAAATAATATCGATACAATTAAGTGATACTATTTTGTATTTTTATTCAATCCTTTTGTCTCATGATCGCTCCTACGCTGCATATAACATCGGGACACTCCTAAAATAGATAGCCAAGTAGGTGACGTCATCATCCTATCTCCCGAGATACTTTCACACAACTGCGTGGTGAAACAGTAGAATTTCTGTGTAAATAAGTACGTATATATTCATATATGACACGCACTGCTTGTTTTTATATATATATATATGCCATGTATTGACATATAAGTTTCTGATATATCCATATATTTATATTTATACTGTATATATAAAGGGAAAGAAATGGTTGAATAATAATCAGAAGACAAAACAAGGAAATGAGAACAAACCGTAAGACGTATGAATACTTTATTTTTAATATAAATAATTATAAATATTTAAAACATTTTTATCTTAAAAAGTAGTCGAATTTCGCATCGTAGTATTATAAATTACCATCGAGATCAATAAATACTTTTCTAGCAAACGAAGTAATAACTTAGAGAAAAGATAGAAGTCACAAAATCCACTTGTAATGAAGAAGAGAATCAATCATATTACTTTCCTAACCAATACGGTAACCCGAAGACAGTTTTCTCTGTCGGTTTCACTAGCTCTACGTAATCTTTATCGATCCATTCGTCCTCGTCTGGCGGAAACCCAATACCATGTGACAGAGAGGTCAAGAGGGGCAATCCATCGAGTCCCAAGCTCAAATACTTGATTACCTGATCATCAAGATGAAGACCTCCAGCGTGTGCATTTTGAGGACCAAAAATGTCGTCATTCCGACGGTCATTCAGCAGCATTTTTTCGAAACGAAAACTCTCCGGCAGACAGTGGTGCTGGCGACAAAAATAATTTTGTCCCTCCTCGGCATGACACCATGTCCCATCTGGAAAGTATGGGCCAAGGCCAAGGTCGTTTAATTCCACGCGCGGCGTGTAATAAGATGCTATGTCTTTTCGCCGACAGAATATAGCACAAGCCATCCATGGCCTTTCGGGCTCGTGCGGCGCCTGCAGTCCGCCACCCTTGGCGTCCAATTCTGGCAATCTTTCACTGAACTCTCTGCACCTCAGTGTCGCAAACTCGTTGATACTCTTGCGCTTCTTCTTGCATAGATTATCGTCTCTACAAAGAACGACGTCGTAGTTTAAACCCTGGCAACCGATTTCTGTATTCTTTGGTACTGGTTTATCACAAAATCGTTGTTTAGTTCGGGACCCGGTGGATTTCAATAGACATCCGCTCTTACAGGGTCCTGACTTCCATTCGCTCCATCCTCCCGGTTGAACGAAAGGTTTGTTTGGATCGGGGTGAATTTGCAGGACGTTTTTACATTCACCGCCACGACATTCTTTTCCGGGTGCACAGTAAGTTCCATCCAGGGCTGGTCCAGCAAGGTAATAACCGCTCCTGTGTGGAGTTTCGCATTGCAAAGACTGGCAAACTTCATAAAACGTGGCCACAGTAGCGTTCTTGTCGCGCAGGAACACTTCACATTGCCTTTTAGCAGTCCATTCTCTTCCTGGGAGATCGAAGTATCGACTGTGATCTAGTCGATTGTTCGTTGGAACAGTTGGTCGGTCTCTGAGGCAAGGTTTCATATATGGAAGCTTTTGCGCCACGTTGCGACTGCATTCTGACCAAATGGTCTCACCGTAGGTGCCTCTGCTGGGGGACATAATGTAGCCGTCTTTTGGGCATGTATTACCCGTAGAATCATGATGCATTCCTAAACTTTTTACAATAGAATATTCGTCAGTTTTGTCGAGATACTTCCCTTCGACATTTCTATAGCAAGGAAAAGTTATTTAACATTTGTTACGTTAAAAAATTAATAGATAAACTTACTTATGTCCCAGTTCGTGTGCAGCTATATAAACAGACGTGAAACCTGCTGATGGAAAGGGTTTACCGAATTGATTCGTCACGCCTAATTCAGCTATAACGCAAGAATATTCGTCGATGCACAATCCACCTACTACTGCTAAACCCATGGTTGCGCTATTTTTTTGTCCACCCTCCATGACATAGAGATCCAAGCCAGAGACGTACAACCCCATGTCCCAGTGACCAGGATGAAATTCGTCCGCGGGATTCTTCTTCATGGCATAAGTGCAAAAGGAATCCAATAGTTTACCTCGCTCTCCATCATGGTGTGGTAGGTCATGGGGTTGCTTTTGCATAATTTCCAATCTAACGAGAGAAATATCGATGGTGATCCCTAAACTCGGATGATGATAAACAGCTTGCACGCCATTTATGTAAGCCAGTAGCATGTCGAGTATTTTTTCGTCGTTTTTATCGAAAAAAGGTGAAAAAAGATTGTAGTCAGCCTCGTCGAAGAATAGTGCCAATTCTAACGTCAGTGCATCGTTCTCGTTATTCCTGTTGAAGTTTCCAAACGGTTCTATGATCTCATCTCCTGCTGTCAAGTCATTGTTAAGTTGCGCATTATACTCTGGTTCGTCTTCAAAAAATATGAAAGGGGTGTGAGCTCTTTTAACGATGTGAGGCTCTCCCAATGTTTCCGAACGTCGTCTGACAAAATGGTCGTCGAAAAATGAAATTTCCTGACTGTGAAGCGGTGTGATCTCGAAAGTGACATTTTTCAAGAAAATCAGACCGTGCTGCGATGAAAAACAGACTGTTCTAAGAAATATTTTTCTCTTTAATGTTCTTGTATTTTCATACTGACCACTCCGTGTTCCCCGCAGAGGCTCATAGCCGCGGAACTAGAATCATCCAGGTGAAGATAATGGCACGATATCGATTTACCGAGTCCTGGCAATCTTTCCAAGGAATTCGCATCATTATGTTTCCAAATTTCAAACTGTGGCGCTGTAATTTTATCGTTTCTACGTAATATCAGTTCAATCGAATGATCGAAAGCTTTGAAACTTAATGGCACCTGTAACGTGTGAACTAAATGACCTGCATTACACAATCGCGTTACCTCGATGGGAAAAATAGTAATTAAATCTATAATTTATATGAGAAAAAAAGAAAAGGAAATAAAATATAACTACCTCTGCGTTATCTTCCGTGTTCCATAATGGCAACAAAACAATCTCAATGTCCTGCATGTTGTGACCGTACGCTAGACGGAATAAAAGCAGCAAGATAGTTTCTAACACGAAGGCCATAGTGTGCGTTATGAATTTCAAGTTCAAGTACTTAGAAGAACGACAAGCTTGTTCTTATATACGCGTGTGGGTGCACATGGCTTGCGAAACCCGTATATCGTTTATCTTTTGCAAACGCATATATATAATGCGAGCTGCATGCTGGCACCTGTATTGCAAATGTCATTGACACTGAGATTTGAATGAATTATGTAACAATAATACAGGAGTTCTACGTTATATCGTGGTATATAGGAAACGGAATTCATAGGATGTCGATGACTTTTTCTTCGTATTCTATGCAACTTACCCGTATTCTATGCAACTTACACGTATACATTAGATGATAGTACAAAATATACATTTCTTTCCTTAATGAACGTGATAATAGCATTGTCAATGGAACGATTAAAGATTTAATAAATTAAGATAAAAATGTGGTATATTTCAATGCATTGGTTACTCGATGTACAAAACAGATACGGTATGAAATATAATCTGTTCAGGTAAAACTTTGTACTCTGTTGCATTATATCTACCGATATTGTTTACATCTGTTTCTCGGTTCTATAAAATCGTGTTACGATCATTTCTTGTATATATACTTCAACCATTGTCCGCTCACGCAGCAAATCAATGAATTACCCTAACAAATGTACTAGTGTATCCCTTTGTTTATAACAGAAGTGTATTATTGCATAGACAACGATTAACATAATCAGGCAACATCGTAATAAATTTCTTTTACTCCCGATGATATACGCTTAAAAATGTGTCTACCATTCCATGCTGTTTTCTCTCTCATTTCTTCTTCTCGGCGTTAAAGAGATCGGGCAACAAAATGGTAACAATGTAACATCGGTATTTTTCATTATACCACGATTCGTAAGATTCATTCTTCTTTTTCATTACTGAGGTGATAAACCACGCAAATGGAAGGTAGGAATGAAACAGAGAAAATATGATTGTTACAAAAACCTTAGTATTAAAATATTTCAATAAAAACAATAAATAATAATCATGATCAATAATAAAATTAATAGAAGTTTCGGCAGTGTATATAACATGCTAAACTTGGCAGGTGCCTACATCGTTATTTAATTATATCGTATTAATGTATAAGGAGATTATTAAATAATTCGATAACTAATTACAATCATATACGGCGAGCGGTCGATTTTTTCTCTAGCTCTCTTTTCTTTCGTATTTTTTTTTTTTTTTTTTTCTTTCTTTTTTTACATTTCATTCCATGACAGTTACTCGGTTGTTCCTCTTTCTTTTTACAAACTTTCTGTACTATATTTACGACACAATGACTAAAAAATCTTTTATACAACGTGGACGCACGTATTTTTCAAAGAGTGCGTCGCATTATATTTACAAGTCGAATCTCGTATTCACCAGCGAGATTATTTCAAATCTGATCAAGCTCTGCTGGGAAAATTTTTCTATTTAACTCTCGTAGAGAGATCATTCTTTGGATTATTCTGCACAATCTTACAAATCAATGGGTAAATTTGTGCTAGAAAAAAAAGAAATAGAAAAAAAAAAAAATAAAAAAAAATAAAAATAAAAATAAAAACAACGAAAAAAATGAATTAGATTTAACTTCCGGTTAATGAAATGACTATTCTTCGCTGTCTGTTGTCATATTCATGTATGAGCAACAGTGAACACTTCGATATAGTATCCTCCAGAAACGATCGGGGGATACAGAGCCGCATATAAAATTTGCAGCGAATATTTGCTACGAACACACGTAGGTTTTGGTAGCTTCTATTCTTTCTGTTTTGTCAGCAGTTATGCTAGCTTCTACGCCCATAATATATGGTACATTTTTTACATGGTACTTTCTCCTGCCCTATTATATTTTACACGTGACAATCACATACCATAATTATAGACGCGTCCATTTACAAATTGTTTACTTTTTCCTTCTGTTTAAGTCAAGGAATATAATCTCTATGGTATTAGCATATGCTTATGAAGGCAAACACATTCTCACCGTATGTCATATATCAAATCGGCAATGATTATTCTCTAAATTTTTTTTTCTTTCCCCCAAAAATGTAGTGACTAATAATATTATGTTCAAATATTTATCAGTGAGTAATGTATAACAGCGTTTTTCACGACCTTCTGACCTTCATTTTTTAATATACGCGTGTGTGTATATGGCTAAATATTAAATAGATTTTTACGATCGAAATATAACACTTCGAAAAGAATTTCATAGTACATTTAGCCTCACAATCAAGTTCTCTATTAAATAAATATATATACCCGACAATGAAATACATAAAAACAAAAACAAATTATCGAGCAATTCGCTCGGCTCAAAAGTTGCCCCTTCTTTAACACAAACAACAAGAAAAGAAAAAAAATCTTTTAACTCGAACACGAGAGACGTGTTTTATAATCGAGTTAAAAAAAAGTATCCAATATATTGCAATATTGTACATATTTCAAAATAATTAAGGATCACTTTAAACAGCAGACTGTAAAGCGTAGGAGGAAATAACATTTCTATCATGAAAAGAAATCATATATCCGTAACCAAAGAAATACGGACCGCATTCAAATTAATTCTGTGAATCTAACAACCATAAAAGAGAACCCGTTAAAAAGCTTAATATACTTGCTTTTTAAGATACGCTGTATAAAAAGTTGATCAAGATTATTCGTCATTCGAAGGCCACTGCCCCGAATGATTCCAATCCCAATCTTTGCCTTTAGGACGAAACTTACTGGTACTCCCAGAATTGTTCCAATCTCTATGAAAGAACTTTTTTTTAAAGTGATGTCGTTCTGGATCTGGTTGACGTTGATATTTTAGAGGCACCGAAGATGTGCTACTACTACTGCTGCTGTTACTGCTCGTACTACTACTGTTGGAGGGATTCGGTGGACGAGGACTAGTCGGTGAAGGTGTACGTGGGGGTCCCAGTGCTTCGTCCGGCGACGGTATCACCGGTGGAGGTCCTGTCACAGTGCTATCCGATCCTAAACCACTATCGGGACTTGTGTTTACTCCCTCAGTTGATCTTCTTCGCTTATCCAACTCCGTGGATGCGAAGGCAACCAGTCTATCGAATCCAGAACTGATACGGTCTTGCCAATCCGCCTCTCCGTCTGCAAAATGAATTATGCTTAGTTGCTGCACCGCTTATGTACTCTAAGACGGTACAACGTATTTTCATAAAAATAAGCCAATAACCCTTCTTGGTAATAATACAGTAAGATATGTTTGTATTCTTGTAATAGTTACTATGCATGTAAGTGTTAAATTATAAATCTCGTGTAATAAAATGATTTTATTAACAAATGATTAAATATCTGTATCGTGTACGATAATAAATATTGTTTTACAGATAGTGTATAAAATGTTATACGTTTAAAATATAATTGCCAATAAAGATCTGTAAATGATCATCGTATAGTTAGTAAATGCGATTTATTTGTATAATAGAGTATTATCTTTTTGTTATGCAAATACATCGTTCATTAACAAATAAAATATACATGGTAATCATATATTATGTACAGTACCTTGTAATATCCACTTCATCATTTCTTGTACAATACATACAACTACTCAATAAAAAAAACACTACATTAATCGCATTTTATATATTATTCTATCATGCAGAAAAGCATGCACCAAAGTTACAAAAACCCATTAACTAAAAATACAATATTTTTATATAAATCTAACATGCTCCATTTGTCCTTAAGTTCCTGAATATGCATAAGTAGGCTGTGAATTGTGAAATAATTTTTATCATTATATTTTTATAAGGAGAAAAAAAAAAAGAAAAATGTTTAGAGTCTGGCTTATTTTCATGGAAAATGTATTATATATAATATAAAATATATAAGATATATTATATTATATACAAAAATAAAAAAAAGCTAAGAATCTAAAACTATATTTTATCAAAAGGCTGTAATAATGATAATAAAGAAAAGAATTTTGAACAACCCCTGTGGGATAACTCACCAGCAACCACGAACCAACCCACAGGCAGCCGTACTTTTTGATTTCTCCCTCTGAATGTGTCTCAATCTCTAATAAAACAAGCTTCAAGGGTTGTGAGTGAGATTGAGTATGTGACAGACAGATCTAACCAACAAACAGCTACAGTGCATCTAACAAATACAGCAAACAACAACAAAAATAAATATAAATAAAGATCAAGTACCAGCTCCATAAGATAAACCATAGATAATGATCTTGAACCATTAGTGCATAAAAATACTAATAAAAGATGCATAGCAGAAACTAATACAACAGTGTTTTTAAAAAGATAAAGCAAAGTGTTTAGTAAAAGTTTTGTATAGTAAAGATATAAAAGAGTATTTATGAGCAGAGAAAATAAATCACACACCTTGTCTATAACAAGGTCTAAATAATAATAATAAAAGAAAAATATGAAATATATTTATCACCAATTTCAAGATTCTCTATTCTGTTGCTGAGTTGGCAAAATTGTATTTACTAAATATAATTGTATTATAAAAACTAATTTATTTTATCAATAAATATAATAATATTAAAGAATTTGATACTTTATATGTATTTAAAGAAATTAAAGGTTTTTTTAACATATTGTTGTTTCTTTTTACAGCCAGTGTAGGAAGCATATTTAAAAACTTGGATATGTACATTCCAAAGCATTTCCTACTCTAATACAACAGAATGCATAATAGAGGGTGTAAAATGAAAATATAGAACATTGTGCTTACCGTCATCGCCAATACCATTTCGTTGTCTCTGCGTTGTCATCTGGGGTTCATCGACTAGTGGCGTAGACGTATTAGAATGTGGTTCTACGAGAGGACTCAATGGCGCTCCGCTCGTGCTTACTGATGATACGATTGCCTCTGTTTTCACTGACATTGAAGGTTGTGATTGACAAATAGCTGTCACCATACCATTTGTTGTTGCACTGCCATTATTGTTGCTACTGGTTGCATAACGATAAAAAAAAAAAGAAAAATGTTTAGAGTCTGGCTTATTT